AAATTTAAAATTTAAAAAAAAATATAAAAATCGAAAATCTAAGAAAAGAAAAAAAATAATAGGCTTCTAATATTTTTTGTTTTCACCTTAAATATATATTATTATAAAATTAAAATAATTAATTTTTGGAAAAAAGATTGTCTAGTTTAGGGGTTGTTTGATTAATTGGTTGCATGTTATTAAATGATCACGTCACATTAAATTAAATAATTAAATATAATTAGGGGCCGTTTACCAAACGCTTATTCGGGTAAGCGCTTACCAAGTAATATTACCTCACCGGATGAATATAGTAAGAAACAAGAATCTTACCTACTAAGAGCGAGACAAGGATCAAAAGTCTTACCCGGTAAGTGAGAGCGACGACTCTTACCACGGTAAACGCTTACCAGGTAAATTATTGTATATTATCTCGTTTTGTTGGACTAAAATCTTATCCGGTAAGTACATAATAGTATTAAATTTAACCGGTAAGCATTTACCGGATAAGTGTTTGATAAACAACCTCTTACATTTGTTTTAAATATAACTAGAAGGGTATTCACATAATGCAGCGAGATGCATCTTGATTTTAATATTTCATTTTAGTTTTTATCTCAATCGATGTTATAGTATGGTCTTATGTGAATTTGAGAAAACGATGATGTTTTTATTTTTGAATAAAATGTAAATTTGAAGATATCATAAAAKTTTGACAAAAATATATCGATATTAGTATCAAATTAATTATTTAAAATTCCTTATTTTTGTGTTATTTTTTTATTCATTTTTTTGTTATAATTTAATTTATATTCAATAACGAAGTAATTTATATTTGGTTTAATAATATAATTTCTTATAAAGATAATAATTAATTATTTTGTTAAAATTCGATAATTATCTTAAGAGAAAATTGCACCAAAATGGAACCAACTTTCACCTGATTCCTATTTTGAGGAACCAACTTTCAAAATCATCATTTTGAAGAACCAACTTGCACCTTATTCCTATTTTGTGGAACCAACTTGCAAAATAATTATAGAAAAAATGGAAAAATTACACCAAAATGGAATCAGCTTGCGCCTGATTCCTATTTTGGGGAACCAACTAGCAAAATAATTATAGAAAAATGAGAAAATTACACCAAAATAGAATCAACTTCCACCTGATTCCTATTTTGGGAAACTAACTTTTAAAATCGTCATTTAGAGGTCTCTACCAAACTTTTTGTTTATTTAAGGGTCTGGTTAATATGTTGAACAGGTAACAGGTAATCTAAAGGTCTCTATCAAACTTTTGGTTGGATTTGTAAAATTTGATTTAAACTTTAATATTGACAAAAATTGGTTAGATATAAAAATCTTGAATGTGATATTTAATATTTATTTTTTATTGCATCAATTAATTTTTTCTATTAAATTGATTTTTTTATTACATTAGTAAAAAATATTTTTTATCGTGGTAATTTAGATTTTTTTCGAAAAAATCTTCAATTTGATATCTGAATTTAAAAAAAAATGAGATTTGAAATGAAAAATAGATTTTATTGCATTAATTTTTGAAAAAAAAAACGAATTTTAGTTATTTTTGTATAATTATTTTGCAAGTTGGTTCCCCAAAATAGGAATAAAGTGCAAGTTGATCCCCAAAATGACGATTTTGAAAGTTGGTTCCTCAAAATAGGAATCAGGTGAAAGTTGGTTCCCCAAAATGACGATTTTAAAAGTTGGTTCCCCAAAATAGGAATCAGGTGAAAGTTGCTTCTATTTTGGTGCAATTTTCCCTTATCTTAATTATATTTTAGATTTTTTATATTTTAAAATGAGATGCTTATCCTTTATTTGATTATGTTTATCCACAGTTAATTATACGAATTCAAACAACGAGCTTTAATAAGTTGTACTTATGCATAATTTACTTGTAATCTTGAATTTTAAGTAATATGCATCAATATACAGTACTTCATGCATAAAAATTGGTTTCTAAAAGTTTTTGCTAAATGCTTTATAATATAGTAATAGATATGATTGAGTAATAACTTTTTTTTTTAAGAAATCTCTAACATATTTTATTTTTTCTACTTAAATATTCGTTAATCTTTTATTTTTATTATTTTAATTAAAATACCTTCATTTATGTGAACATTTTGTTTTCTTTTAACTGAATTTCCCCATTTTCTTCCTCAATCATGATGAGATCCCTTCATTGTGTTTCCCACGCTGAGATTCTGATGGATCGACCATTAGAATTAATTAGGGGTGTTTACGGTTCAGTTTGGACGGTTTAATTCTTTAGACCACAAACCAAACCGTAACCGAGCGGTTTGACATCAAGTGTCCAGACCGGTCAAATCAGACCACGAAATGACGGTCTGGTCTGATCGGTTTAAACAGTTTGGACCTTTAATGAACTTTAAATATTAAACTTAAAAAATATATATAATTTAGAATTTTAAATTAAATATCAATTTTAACAAAACAAAATATCCAAACAAGTACATGTAATAAATAAGCAGCTTCTGAGTTCAAAATCCAAGCAATGCAAAGTTCAAACGAATAAATATATAATACATATTGGAAAACAAACAAATAAATATATAATACATATTGGAAAACAAACAAATTAACAAAGTTACAACTCCATTGTGAGTATTGAGTACTAAAATTCACGACTTCACAACCTTCAATTGTTGACCAAACAAAATAGAAGACAAATCTTAGCTGGTTGAATCACTTAGTTGATGTCTTGATGATGTGCGCCGATATCAAACCATGGATTAGGAAAGATCGATAAATTGATAGAGTTCTTGAGAGATTTCAAAATTTGGAGACCGTCAATGTCAAATGTGTCGATATGTTTACTGGTTTAGGGATTTTTAGGCCGCGATTCATTTGGATTTGATTATGTTAAATGTTAGGCTTTATGTTGGGCTTAGGGATATATTTGGG